TACTCAAAATAACGCCCATGCGCGTACTCAAAATAACGCGCATATACTCAAAATAACGCCCATGCGCGTACTCAAAATAACGCGCATATACTCAAAATAACGCCCATGCGCGTACTCAAAACAACGCGCATATACTCAAAATAACGCCCATGCGCGTACTCAAAATAACGCGCATATACTCAAAATAACGCGCAGATAAGTGTTATTCTGCGAAAATATGGTAAAGGAATTTTTCATTAATTAAAAGGTGTTGATTTATTTAGAGCAACAAGTTACTTTATATCCGTATAAGGATAAAAATAATTTATGGGTCATCCAAAATGAAACTTGTAGGGAATGATCAATTAGTATGATTCTTATATACATACCGGAGGTAAATGTAAATCACCCAACAAATCCCATAGATCTTTTATTGTCAAAAGGACAATAAAAATAATAGTAAAAAACCCCACCCATTTGATACTATAAATTAAATAAATAAATAACTCAATGTTTAATGATATGAATACAGTCAAACCTCTTTATAATCACACTTTTGGTTTTAAGAAATTAGTGATTATAAAGAGTTTGTGCTTATATAGAGGTTAAATTTTATAAGTACTATATAAGTTGGTTTTAAAAATTTATATAATTATAAGTAAATGTGATTATAGAGGTGGTGACTATAAAGAGGTTTGACTGTACTATATAAGTTGGTTTTAAAAATTTATATAATTATAAGTAAATGTGATTATAGAGGTGGTGACTATAGAGAGGTCTGACTGTACTATAAATTATTTAACGGAAAAAAAGACCGATTTTCTAGAACATACCTGATTGTAAGGCCAAGACCTACTCCACTCATTGTCAACCAAAACCACCACCAAAATTTAAATGGTCTATGAAAAAGCGTAATTACGATATATTTAGTATTATATTAATTTAAGGCAAAACAATAAGATTTACAAGCATACCTTTTTTGTTCGTTATGAAATTTTATCCACATCAATGTTGTAAATGCAGTAGAAGCTATCAACGGCGAATCCAATAAAACAAGTCTACTTTGAGTTACCAAGCCATTCTCTTTTTTGAAAAAGAAATTATATATTACCAACATATTACAAATTTTATCACAATAAATTACATTCCAACATACCAAATATCAATAAAGCAGAGACCAGAAATGCAGCAGTTGTCGAAAATCCAGATAATTTAATTGTCAAATAAGAAATTGGTATTACTAGAACTCCCAATATTCCTGGTATCAAACGCATCATCACATATGGAAATTTAGATCCGGCAAAGTCACTATGTTTATAATGAATATAAAATCAAAAAAATGAGACATTTATAAAAATCAATAGAATATGTCAAATTACTTTTTATTCACAGAATCAAGGATTCCATCGTATCCGCCTAAGAAAGCGGCAAGAGTGATAAGCAACTTTGCCAATGGCGGATGTGTATCAATAAAAAAGTCTCTTTTAATATATTGCCTAGAAATGAAGATAGTGATCAGATTGAATTCAAGGTTTCAAATGAACTATTTAAATATAATTAATAAATTATCGAATTCTTACGAAGCGAGAGTCTCAAAATGCATCTCATCAAATCTGATGCATTTGAAGTTATAATAATTAGATAATTGATGGAATGAGAGATTGATCAGAATTAAGATAATTGCTTACACAGCCGAACTTGGATGGTCCAGGCGATGCAATCTTACAAAGAGAGAAACGACGATAAGTCCAAGGAGGTTAAATATATCATTAGTAGATATCCCTGTAATGAATTTTGAGATGCTTTTTACACCATTCTCTTTTGTGTCATATATTAGCAGATCATCATCTGATAGTATTGATGGTGAATCAGGCATTTTAAATTCTTTTTTTCGATATCTCATATCACCAAAACCCACAACAGATGTTGAACATCGAACTAAAATTATGAAGATTAACAGTGTAAACTTTATGTCTGGTATATATACTAAAGACCTGTAAAGTGATTCATACCAGGATTGAGAATTACTTCACAATCTTCATTATTTATCCTATAATCCATTTTGTTTTTTATTCTTTTTTTTTATTTTTATTTTATTTTTTTTTGATTTCGTTGAAGTAACAACGATTGTAATTAAATTTTTCACGCAATTCATATTTATCTTGTTTGAATGGATGTGTACCAAAGAAACATACAAGAAATTTAAAAATCACCAATCAGATTTGTATGTATGCGCACACGAAATCACATATAAGATACATGACGTGCATGTTTACTTCCTATTAAAGTAAACAATAAACCGTAAATAAATGCATTCTTTTTTATTATTACTGTATTAGTAGGACAATTTTATTAAAAATAGACAAATTAGGTAGATTGGTGGCGCAAAATTCAAATTTAGGTTGGAATATATTTGAGATAAACCGAAATTAACAGAACATTCCTGGCGCAAAAATCATATATCTGCTTAGTACTTGTAATTCACAATTATTGTAAACTAAATGAGAAGAGGCAATAAAAACGACACATAAATATGCATGAATGGAGGATTCTTCAAATAGCATTTTTACAATGTCGAATTATAAACCGGAAAAACAAAATAAGAATTTCTGATTTTAATTTTGAAACCCTCCATAGGATTAATTATAAAAGTTTTTAAAATTGTCTTCAGAAAGTGCGGCTAACAAATTTTCTAGGTATTTCACAAAAAGTTGTAACAGAAATTTTTTAATGATCAAAGATATTCTTAGTTTATTGCTAGCAGAATTTCGCAATCTCGTGTTCTTGGAAGATGTTTCACTTGCTTTAAGCTTTTATATTATCTGGATTGATACGAAGTTTGATACCAGGAATATTGGGAGTTCTAGTAATACCAATTTCTTATTTGACAATTAAATTATCTGGATTTTCGACA